TATCCTCCAAACAAAATTTTCCAATTTTAACAAATCCCTTCAAACAAAAATTACCAAAATCAATCATATTTTAACTTTCGACTCTTAAGCGCACTGTAATTCAACTTTTTTCGCCTTCATATTTTAATTTATAAGATAATATTTTTATTTTCAAGTAAATTTAATATTTTAATATGTTTGAAACAATAAAAAAAATATAATCTAAAGTTTATTGTGTTAATAATGGTATTAATGTTTTCCTTAAAATATCAAAGTCAATCAAATGTTAAAATTATAACATCATTTTTATATTTAAATTATTGTTATATTAAATTTTAAATTTAAATGTGGAATAAATATAATAAATTAATAATATATTGTCAAATGATTATTTTTATAATGAAATTAAAGTTAAAATTACAGATATTATTTTTATTTTATTGATAATTATTGTAAATATAATAAGAATCATATTAAAAATTATTTAATATTTACATTTAATGTGTTTCAAAATTAATTTTACTTCATAATCAAATTTAAAGATTCAATATTAATTGTTTATGATAAATTATTAATATAATTATTTAATAATTATCAATAATAACATTTAAAATTTTTAGTTGAGAAAAATGTTTATCATTTATTTTTTATTGTTTTAAAAATAATCATATAATTATAGTTTGGGTATTTTCGAGTTATAGTTTCAGTTTTTTACATGTTTTAGATCGGATCAATCTTAGGTTCGTAGCATTAGATTCGAATTGTGATGAGCTCAAATTATATCGATGTCTTGCTTTTTTTGGATTCAGATTTTGAGATTAATTTTTTTGGTTTTCGATCTTTGACTTTTCTTATCCAACTCGAGTCAATTCGAGTTTGGTCAAGAATTGGTTTAGATGGGTTTTCGGGTTCGACCAACTTTGCCAACTCTACACATAATTCCTTTCTCTTTGCAATAATGGTTGCAAAAAAATCATCCAAACTTTAAGGGAAGATCCATTCTCCTCCCATTCTTCTCTCTTTACTACCCTTATTTTCTTCCCTACGTCCATAGCCTTCATTTTCATCTCCTTATATTTTCCTTCCTTGTCCATTACCATTTCTATAACATTCTCCACTATTTGCCCTTCAATAATACTTTTAGCTCCTCTTGCAAACTCTACTCAAATACCCATTTCTTCTACCAACATTTTGCAATTAGGATTGAGCAAAAAATTTGAAAAAATTGAAAATCAAATCAATATAAGGTATTAGGTTTGGTTAAATTTTGTTATTAACTTAAAGCAATTCGAATTCGATTTTGTTTTATAGATTGTCATACGTATAGATTCATAGACCTAATGTTGGATATAGACTGAAGAAGTTATCACAAAATTTTTTTATTTAAGTGCAATTGATTACCTAACTAAATTTGTCCCATTTAAAGAGGAATCCCAAGATTGATTTAGTTATATTTAAATAGTATATTTTAATCAATGAAACCAAATTTTAGGTTTAAAAGTGTGATTATGCATGGAGAAGATCATAGCACCCTCACCGTATCCATCCAAAAAATAATAGTGATTTAATTTTAAATTATCCAAGCCTTAACCATATTTATAATTTACCAAACATATTTAATATTGAAAATTAATTTTAAAATTACTCTAATAGTTTGATAATAATTTAAGATAATTCTCTCACTTCAAGTATATTATGAAAACTAGTGTCTCACTCTACAAAAGTTACGTTGTTGGATTCATTAACATATTTTTCAAGAAATAATTAGTAAAATCCTCTAATAGTTTGATAGGTTTTACTTTGATGTAGATCCTCCAATAGTTTGATGAGACTTTTTTGTAAATTTATATTTTAGAGATTATATTAAATCTTTTTAATAATTTGATAAGATTTAATTTAAGATGCAAATCCTCTAATAGTTTGGTAGGATAAAAATAAGATATTTCACAAATAATAATTTAACAAAAAAATAAATTGATTTATGAAATTCTCCAATAATTTGGTAGAATCTATAAAAATTTAAATTCATAAAAAAATCTTTCAACAGTTTGATAGGATTCATGAATCTATTTTTAAAACTTATTTTTTTTATTTTTTTGTCTTTGAATAAATAAAATGAAATTCACAAAATAATGTATTTGCTCAATTTAAAATAATAAATAATAATAAAGGATAAAATAATAGTAAAAAAGTAAGATTATATATATATATAATGAAATGAAAATAAAATAGGAAAAATAAAATGTTGCTACATTATTTTAAAAATATAGTGAAAACTGTTCCTATTATCCAAATTTCGATCCACAAGCATGAATTGAAGCTATTGGAGGGGTTAAAGTTATATGCACTCATATGTATGGCTTTAGATCGCTCTCCTACACTCAACTCAGTCCATTACTAGAGTAAGATCGTTTAAATTTATTTGTGGTCAGTCATCTTTGCCTCTTTAGGCTTGTCAGTCTTAGATAGAAGAACAAATGATGAGTTGAGAACTAAGCTGAAAGTTGAGCTTAGGTCATTCATGGATTGGATGATGTAGTTGATGGGATTTAAATAACTCCACTATCACAATATTCCGAACCTGATGACAACACTGAAAAATTTTGATAAGAAGGTGCAACAACAGCACAGTGACATTTTTTGTTAGATTTGTATGAGGTATTAGGTGGATGGATGCTATGGATGTTTTATGGATGGATATTTTATGATGTTTTATGGATGTTATGGATATTTGATGGATGTTTGATAATGTATTTGATGAATGTTATCTGGATTTGATATTTTAATTAATAATAATAGCATATTTAAATAATTACACATGTTTAAATTGTAATTTATAAGGTTCAAAAATAATTATAGGTTTTTTGAATAATTATAAATGTTTTTATTTATATTATTGATGAAATTGTACTTTTATCAATGGAATTTACTGAGAAATTTTACTATTACTGATGAAATTTTTATCATTACCGACAAATTTACTAATGGAAAAAATATTTTTATGACTATTTTCATGATTATTACTGATGGAATTTTATTAATATTGACGAAAAAAAACCTTTTTACTTATAGATTTACTAATGGTTTTACTAACAAAAAATTTCATAACTAAGTACTGATGGAAAATTCGATAGATAAAATCATTGATAATAAATTCGTCAGTTATTATCAATGAAATTGCATTACTAATACCGATGAAATTTTTTTGTCGTTAAAACAGTCGCTTTTACTATTATCAATGGATTTTAAATTTTTACTGATGAAAAATTCCATCAATAAAACTTAGATTTTTGGTAGTGATAGATTTTCCTATGCTGTCATTGGAAGAAAACGTTTGTCTTCATTACAAATAATTGTAGGAACGTCTTTCTTCGTTATCAATTTCACTCCACTTTCATATCTCAACTATGCACTTATAGTTGAAAAAGATTTTAAGGTTCTATCTTAAATGTTTCAAGTTTGAAAGCAAGTGATCTTTATTTAACTAACTCGATCATAGTTATCAGAACGGACCAGACTGGTAAGCCAGTGCTGAAATTGGTTTGATTCTATAATTAAACTAGTTTTATAATTAAACTGATTTAAATCATTGTGAATTGGAGTTTACATAATAAACTAATAAATCAGGTATTTTTTTCTTTTTGTATTAGACTGGTTCAATATCAACTAATAAATTTAGGTAAAATATAAGAAAAGCCCTTTAAGTATTCAAATAATCTAATTAAGTCTTTATATTACTATTTCATCTAAATAAGCCCCTAAACTCTTATTTTCTATAATTAAAATTCTTATATCCTTATATTAATGATATGTTGGTATATTTTGAGATGTGGATAATAACATTGCAAAAAAACTTACATATGTAAATATAAGAAATTTTTTAAAAAAATGATCTAACAAAAAATTTTATTAATTGATAAAATAATTATAAAAATAATAGTATATAAAATTAATAAAAAGTAAAATATTAATAAAAATGATTAATTATTTGACTATAATAAAAAATAATTAATAAAAGAAAATGTATATATAAAAAATAATAAAAAAATCTACATTCATATAAAAAATATAAAAATGATTTTAATTTCTTTTTTACTAATTTTTATATAAATATAAATATTTCCTTTTTATTAATTTTATATATGATATTTCTTTTTTATTACATAAAGATTAATTATTATATTAATAAATAATATTTATATTTTAATAAATATAAATAATAATAATTATTATTTATAATTATTTATTAGTTATTATTTATTATATTTATTAAAATATAAATATTATTTCTAACTATTAAAATATAAAATATGATTTTAATAAAATGTTAAGTAATTTCATTTCAACTAGTAATTAATTACTTTATGAATTTTATATTTTAAAGTTTATAGTTTATGATATACCTTAAAATTTATAATTTTATGGTTGAATTATTAAATTATAACTTGAGTTAAATGTTTGAATTTTAAAATTTTAAAATATTTATATTTTTATAATATTTTTTACTAAATTGACAAGTGATCTGATTAACTCAAAACTTTAAACAGTTTAATGTTTGGTCAAATTTTGATAATTATGAACCGTTATGTCTTTCAAGTACACAAGAGTAAATATGTTAATTTGTGCATATGTATTATATTTATTTTATATTAAATATATGTAAAATATAAAATTTTGTATTAAATTTGTATTGATATATTAAATATAAAAATATTTTTTAAAATTTATGAAACTTATATTTTTTTAACCAAAATTTTAAAATGTATTGCTTTTTTTTTTTTTCATGTATAATTTTATATTATCAATTTAAAGTTATCATGTGTAATATACAGCACTGACTCCAAACTCCCAAAAATTGGAAAAAGATTATTAGTAAATTAAATGGACGGACAGAGTATGAATAAAAAAGTGTAGAATAGAATCGGGCATTAGTTGACCACAAGAATCCAGTGGACGTGGCAGAGCTTAAAACGACAAACAATTTATTTAATCCCACCTTATCCGCCCAAAAAACCGAAATCACAAAAACAAAAAGAGAAGATTGAGTTGCAACAGAATGGAAAGACAGAGACATGAGTGCGGCTTCCGTTTCCTCTGCTCTCGCGGCCTGCATTAACCGTCAAACCCACCGCAGCAGGAATGCCAAATGCCTTTACAATTTCAACCTGCACTCTCATCTTCACCAACACTTCCCTTTTCTACTCAGAGGTGTGTTTTAACCTTTTACGTTCTCTTTTTGTTGCTTCTGTCATCAGAACTAAAAGGGATACAAAAAGAATAGAATATTAAAAGTTAGTGGTTCTGTCATCTCTGGTATTTCATGCTTGCCTTTTGGTTTTGATAATAACCAATGAAGGATTATCATCATTTGACATGGCATGCAGATTTATAAGGGTCACATGTATATAAGAGTTGTTCCACTACCTCATACTTGTATATAATTTTAAATAAAAATTTAAAATGATATATTACTATATATTTATTTAAAAATGGATCGTTTTGTTTAATTGAAAATAGTCAGCATTTTTCAAAGACTTTGATTTTTCTTTTACAATTGCAAATCCATCATGTGTGTTCTTTTGTGTTTATGGTATCCACTGAAGAATTACATATGGATTTATCAATTCTATGGACAGAAAAGGTGTCCCATGAAAAAAATTTTGAGAGAAATATTTTCTTTCAATATTGCTAAAGCTAATATTCTCATACACTGAAAATGATTCTTTAAGGTTGTTGTCACAAGTAACGCGGTGGGTAAGTTGATGTCTTATCTGCAATTTAAGCTGTTTTTATGTATTAAAACATGACCTGATTACTTGGGGGTGTGTTGCAGTTACAAATGAAAGTAGCAGAACTGAAGTATCTGCTGATCCTACCATTGAGAGATCAGAAAGTGATACGATAGTTGATGGGATGGACTTTGGTGAGCTTTGCAATGAGTTTGAATGCATTAGTAGTCCCTTGGTGGAATCAACAGCAAGACAACTTCTACGTGATATTCTAGAGCTCCGAGAAGGAAATCGTGCGCTTGGAACATATGCAGTTTCTGTCAAATACAAGGTGCTTGTGTGACTTTTTTTACCCAGAATTCACTGCATAACTTAATCTTCTGAAGATCCTAACTTATTCAGTTTTAGCGTGTAAAATCTGCTCCTTCTTCTTTATACAGACTTTGTTGTGAATCTGTCTATAGTGACGCCAATAATTTCTCAGTTTGTAGAGTAATGTCATGAATATGCAGGATCCAGTTAGGAGTTTTACTGGTCGTAACAAGTACAAGAGACCACTTTGGATAACTGGTGCTCTAGAAAACCCCTCTGTGGTAAGGGTTTTTGTTTCATATGCTTTTATACATATAAAATCATTCTTTAAGTGACTTGTAGTTTGATTTCTACTGCTTTCAACTTAAAGTTGATCATTTTAAGTGACCGTTATCCTTCTTCTAGCTTGCTCCAAAAGCGAGTCTCAAGTTTAATTGTGTTGGTTGTTTATTTATTCCTCTTAAGCTATTGAGCTGTTCTAGCATAATGAACCATCAAAATCTATGTTAATTATACTTTTGTTGTCCTATTATTACTACAGACAGTGCAAGAAATGGTGATGCTTTCAACCAGCGTACTCAGTATCAAATGGACAATTCAAGGGAAGCCTAAGTCTTTTGTTGCTAGCGTAGGCGGAGATCTGATAATAAGAGTCAATTCAGAATTCACTTTGAACCAGATTAGTGGGCAGGTGATTGAGCATCAAGAGTTCTGGGATTTATCCTCTTCATCACTCTTTGCTCAGGCATTTTTCTGGACATCCCGTCGTCTCTTTGCTACAATCGAAGCAGGGAAGGACTTCGCTGATGGAGCGAGGGACTTGTCCACTCGTTTTTCTGCTAAGCAAGAGAACCTGGACGTTTATCCTGACCCTTCTGGTGATCCAACTAAGGTGAGTTTCAGCTTCATCTTTCTTTATAATTAATAAAAAAGAAATGAGATATCTTCCTTTGATTAAACTCCTTTCACCTGTGTAGAATTTTTCTCTAGCACTTCATTCAATCCTTGTTGTAATTGCATTGTGAAGACTAGTTTCTTTCTTTTCTACACTATTTTCAGTGGTAAATTGTAGATTTCCAGATGAAATCATTATTTTTCAATTTTATCTTCAAGTTAGTTCGTCAAGATCTTTATGAGGCTTGATTGAGCTATCTTGATGAGTTTTAATCATTTAAAAAAAAAAAAAATCCTATAATAGATTTGTCTCCATCACTGTAAAGTCAAATTTAGAAATCACAACAATTAGCTAGTAACATTTTGCACTGCCAGATTTTTTGCTTATTCGTGGGAAGTAAAATGTTTCACAAGAAAAATCCGAAATTTAACTTAATTAGTTCATAACCACTCTTAAAATGTGACATCAGTAAGCTTGAGATTCGAATTCCAGCACCTACAATATCTTTTGCAAACTCCAAGTTTCAACCTCCTTTGTATATAAAAAGAAAAAAAGAGTCTTGCAAGAGATTCTTGCTTGGGATTTAGATACATGTTTCCTGTTTCAGAATTCAGATACTGGAACACTTGGTTATGAACAAATTCATTGTCCTAACATATTGTATCATTAATTTATTTTCTGTAATCAGTTTTTTCAAAGGGACGACGGATTTCAAAGAGATGCATACCAAATTGCCTTGTTTCTGGCAGTCCTCTACTTTGTTGTACAGTTCCTGAGGACAACCCTGTAAAGCTCATTCTCCTGCAATCTTCATTCGTCCTTGAACTTATTATTGCAAATTTGTAATTATCAGTTTTGTATATTCTTATACCAATAGATACTGCATTATAAAACATGTTATAATAGCTTTTTAATCAGACATCTAGAATAGGCTTCAAATTGAGCTCAACTTTTCCTGTTACTTGTAGATTTTAAAATGACATTGGTGTTTGTGATTGAAGAAAGCATGGCTAGAAATCTTGTTTGGCAGTGGCAATGCTTGATTGCAATAGAAAAAGTATGGTTTAACTACTGAAGTATGAAAAGTGTTGTAAAAAATTATGGTAAAAAGTATGATTTAACTACTGAAGGGAATTAGTTCCATTTGGCATATGTAGCTTACCTATATTATTCTGATGACAAATTGAGAATAAAAAGGAAAATAAATTAAATATAGAGCAATGCACAGAGAAAATCTTGAAAATGTGAGATAAAAGCCATCACTGTGAACAAACTCATTATCAGTTTGTAGTAGAATGTTAAAGGAACAACCTCCAATATTGTATTCCATGGTGCACATCAGCACTAGTACTCGTCTCGACAAAAATAGTTCAAGCGCCAGATCAAACGCCAGTTCAAACGCCCTGTTTACTTCTACTTAACCCCCTCAAGTCTTGTGAACGTATTATAAATAATACATTGGATGTTAAAGGTGGGGGAATAGGAAAGGGGGAAATTCTGAAACTCTAAAAATTGTCTCTTTAGTCAATCAAGTTTGTACAAAGATATTCCAAGATCACTTGCCCTTTTTAATAACGTTAAATATATAAATAATCCTCATATTATATATTTTCTAGAATATCTAAAGAAATAAAATTATTAATTTAATATTTTAATTTTTATTCTCTATTCATTTTGATATATTGTACTAATGTCATTAATTAAATTATTGATACGACATAAACATCTAATAAAATATTGATATATTGATGCATTTAAAAAAATTCAATTAATATCACATTATAAGTTGTCACATCAACATTAAAAAAATTCAAAAAAATTTTAATTTAAAAATTTTGAAATATTTTAAAAAGTTATAAAACAAGTTTAAAAAAATCTGAAATATTTTTAAAAATTTTAAAAATTGAAAAAAGTTATGAAAATTTTAAAATTAAAAAAATCTAACAAATTTAATAAAAAATTCAAAAAATAAAAAATGAAAATTTTCATAACAATAAAAATTTCTTAAAATTTAAAAAAAATCACAAAAACTTAAAAAAACTGAAAACAAAAAAATCTAAAATTTTTTGAAAAATTTTTAAATTAAAAAAATCTATTTTTTTTAAATATCTAAAATTTTTGGAAAAATTTTTGAAAAATATAAAAAGGAAACTTTAAAAATTATTAAAAAATCCAAAAAAACTCAAAAAATTCTGAAAAAAAATTAAAATATATATAAATTAAAATTGTAAGATTAAAAAATATAAATTTTTTACAATTTATTTAAAATCTTTAGATTTTTTTTCACAAAAATTAAATTTCTTGAAAAAATTTTAGATTTTTTTATTTTCAAAATTTTTAAAGTTTTTTGAATTTTTTAATATTAAGAGAATTTTATTATTATTAAAATTTTTATTCTTTTGAATTTTTAGAAAACTTTTATATTTTTTATTAAAATTTTGAAATTTTGAAATTTTTTACGTTTTCATAAGTTTTAAAATATCTCAATTTTTTTTCTAATTTTTAAAATATTTCAAACTTTTAAAAGAAAATTAAAAATTTCAAATTTTTAAAAATATTTTCTTTTAATACTATGGAAATTGATGATACAATGTTTATTAAATTTTTTAACGTGTATTGTACTAAATACTCATGTCATGTCAATGTCAGTAAATTGAATAACAATATTAATCTCAAATATCCAAGTAGATAAAAAAATAAAAAATAAAATATCAAATTAAAATTTTTATTTTTTTAGATATCAAACTGTAAAAAAATGTATAGTATAAAAATTATTTTATATTTAACCATTTTATTAAAGATGTCTTGTAATATAGGTTCTTATCATGTAATTTAAAATACAATACGACGATATTAAAAAAAGATACGAAAATAATATGTTAAAATTTTAACAAAAATTATATATGAATTTAACAAAAATAAATATATATTTTGTATTTTCTGTATCAATACGATTTGTGTTACATAATTTTTATGTAAAACACAACACATATACATAAGTACATGAATTATAAGTGTTTTACACTACAATAATACACGTATTGTCAGGATACCAACACATTAGACCATGCAAATGAAGGAAAAGGATTATCCAGCTAAACCAAACTAGTTTTGGGTCAGCTCTTAGTTGAGTCAAGCAAATGCACCAATTCAACCTTATAATCTTGAAAAAATATTAGGCAGAATTTAAAAGCTAAAAAAAAAAAAAACCCATATAAAAGGGTGAATGGCAGAAGTTGCAGCTAACAAAAATGTAAGAAAGACGGGATGAAATTGAAATAATATCATCAGGACCTTCCTTACCAATCCATGCTAAAACGTTAGTGGCTTCTACACATGAATATAAATGATACATTAATACTCGTAAACTATTTAAATTTGGTTTGAATAAAATTTAAATTTGACTTGATTATTATCGAATCGAGCTTAAACTCGAATAACTTGACTTATCGATTGAACTGAATTTAAATATTTTATACCCGACTCGAGTTTTTCGCGAACCTAATCGAACTTTTATATTTTAATTATTTTAATTAATAAAATATATAAAATTCGAACACAAATAATCGAACTTTTATCGAATATATAAAAATTAAACTTATTTTTACATGTTAATCGAACTTAATCGAGTAAGTTTGAGTAGCTTGATTTTTATCTCGAGTTAAATTCGAACTAAAAAAATAAAATTCAATGAAGTTCGAATTGAATTTTGAACATCAAATTTAGAGTCAAGCTCGAACTCGAGTTTAATATTGTATTAGCTCAAACTTTGCAAAGTTAAGACACTCGTCACAGATTTGTGGCTCAAATCCTAGCAGTCCCATAGGAAAATGGCAACGTGAATTACTCATGTACTGACAAGTGAAAGCATATGAAAGAAGGATAGTTGACAACTTCTGAGAAAAGATAAAAGGGAAGCTATGTAAAGAATATTCAGTCAGTTAAGGATTCAATAAAATGAAGTTATTTGATGGTGCAACAATGAGATAACAGTCTGAAAATTAGCCTCCAAGTCTCCAACATTCTGCCATTACTACTCTTTTCTCCATTTCAGGAAGCAAAGCAATGGCCTCTCTGTACTTTTCCTATATTAACATATAAGGTACTGCCACGAGCAGAGATGTAAATGGAACCTAAAAATCATACATATATTATATGCATATTTTCCCTAAAAAAATATATGAGAACTCAAATTTAAGGGGAAAATTTTAATAGGGAAATGAAAACAGCATGTTATTGCAAAATTTCTAGTCTAAAGTACATCCATTAACATTGTTTCAAGCAAGTACCATTTTTAAGTTACTAATGGCTTGACAGGTGCTTAAAATATTTCTAGTTTGCATGAATTTGCCTATAAACGAAGAGGTGCATTAAAGAAATTTGTTGAATGCCTGCCGTACATTGACAAAGGTGATTTGCTGACAAAGGTGATATGTTTTACAGTGATTAAAAGACCTGTAATTTTCAAACCATTATCATAAAGTCAAAAGAATAAATATCCATAATTTCAACTGATGAACCAAGGGAAAAATTGCCACCAGCAAATTTTGGATGAACGGTAAGGGAGAGTATTATACCTTTACATTGCTATTAAAACTAGAATGAATGGTAAACCATTAAACAGAGCTCATCGCAGGTTACACCTATAGGTGCCCTAGAAAGAAAGAAAGAAAGAAAGAAACAAGAGTAACTGCAGGCTGCAAGATGCCAATTCAGTCTTCTTCCTCAATTTAATATGGTAACTGAAGGGTGCATGATGCCTAATCAAGGAATAATATACTGCTTTCATCTCAACTGAATAGGATGGAATTAGTTACTGCTTTGAACATTTACCTTACAGATTTTAAAACTTCCTTGGATTTATTGCACCAATGTCGACTGAGAAGAAATCACTTTGATAGTCTTCACAGTTTCTGAATTAGTGCACGCCCATTGAATCACGAGACAGGATATCCACTGGCATGGCTGCTATGGATGCATTTGCAGCAAAACCTTTGTTAACCATTTCACAAAGAATTTGTACTCCCCTTGATGTGTCACTGTTTCGAAGAAATCCTTGAATCATTGTATTGTAAGAGCAACTATCTGGCATGCAACCATTCACTTCCATTTTCTTAAACAGTTCATATGCTTCATTCTGCAGCCCTTCTTTACAAAGTCCTTTGATCATTATATTATATGTGCAAACATCGGGTTGTACCCCTTTGACAGTGAGTCCACGAAATAATTTCCTTGCAACTTTATGTTGCCCGACTTGACACAAGCCATCAACTAAGATATTATAGTGGAAAATGTTAGGTTCTAATCCACTGTTCTGCATTACATGAAAAAGTCTCAAAGCATCATGAATATGACCATGCTTGCATAAGCCATCCAACAAAGTAGAGTAAGTGATCATGTTTGGAACTAGGCCACGAGTACTCATTTCTTTGAAAAGTTCTTGTGCAACTGCAAGTCTCCCGACATGTGACATGCCACCTATAAGTGTGCTGAAAGTAACAGCATTAGGGATTAACCCATTTCGAGTCATTTCATGAAAAAGTTCCATTGCCTCATCTATCCTTTTAGCTTTACAATATCCATTGATAATGATGTTGTAACTAAATACATTAAGTACATGACCCTTGTTAGTTATTGAATTGAATAATTTTCTAGCCACACTCATTTTACCTTGCAAACAATATCCATCCATCAACGAACAATAGGTAACTATATCAGGCTCAACACCTTGTTGAATCATTCTTCCTAGAATATCTTGAGCCTCTAAAGTCCTACCCTCTTTACAAAGGGCATCAACCATAATATTATATGTGATGACATTAGGTTTGCAATTGTTCACCATCACTTCATTCAATAATCTTGTAACCTCCTTCCACTGACATGAATTACACATAGCATGAATAAAGGAATTATAATTGAAAACATCGGGTGGAATGCCTTTACCCCTCATTTCTGAGAAAAGCTTCAAAGCCTCGGTTACATTCTTGTCCTTACAAAGGCTATCGATGATAGTGCTGTATGTTACAACGTCAGGTGCATAACCTATTTCTCCCATAGTCCTTAGCAATCTAACAGCCCGACTGGTATCACCTATTTTACAAAGACCATTTACTATCGTACTATAAGTGATTAAATTAGGCTGATAACCTTCTTGAACCATGTCATCAAACAACCTCACAGCTTGAGCTACTTTACCTCCAATACAAAGTCCATTGATCAAAGTGGAGAATATTATAGTATTAGGTACAATGCCCAACTTCAACATCTTCCCCAAAACCGAAAACCCAAAACCCACAAGATTCGAGCAGCAAAAACAATTTATCAAAATGCTGAGAGTACAAACATCAGGATGAATTCCTAGTAATTCCATTTGTCTCAAGAGAGAAACAGCAGTTCCATAATGCTTCATTCTAACAATGGCTCCTAATAAATTATTAAATTCCATAATAGAAGGGCGTGGATGCATATGTACCATCTGATCAAACTTGTTTAAGGCATCATCAATTTGATCAAACACATAATTGGGTTTCTTCTTGCAATGGGTAGTAGAGTAAAAAGAGATTTGGGAATAAAAGAGAGCCCTTTTATTATCTAAAGCAGAAAAATAATTGAACAAAAAGAACGGAAGAGAAATGGAAGATTTAGGGTTAACCAACTCCAAATGTCGAAGAAGATCAAAGGCAGAAGAAGAAGCGCTTCTCCAGCCCCTCATCAGCATCATCATGCAAAGCTCCAATTCTCCTCCCTTTAGCTGCGTCCTGATGGCTGACAGAACCAAAATGTTAATTACACAGTTCTTTTTTTTTTTTTTTTTTTGGGTCCTTGAATAAGAAAATGAGAGGTTGCTCTTGTTTAAATATATAAAAGCTCTTGTATAAATATATAAAAGCTAAAGGTTATGAGGTAATAATCCTATGTCCCTAACCTGATCAGTGATTGCTCGACATGTGAATATTTTTAATTTTTGCATCTGTTCATTATTTAATGCTTTTGATTTGATAATGGTAAACTTAATTATATTTATTTTTTATATTTTTTAGTTAAAGTAGTATCATTACTTATAATACCATCACTTAATGCTTGGAAGTAAATTTATTAATCATCATTTTTATTAGTATTATGAAACATAAAATTTATTTTAAAAATTAAAGTGATTATTAAAAAAATAAATTTAATGCAAATATTTGTAAGTTAAAGTTAAGAAACTTAATATCAAGATTTATAAAAGAAAAAAATTAATATTTTTATAAATTTTAACTTCATCATTCACAAAATATAAAAAAATAAACATAAAGATTTAAGAAAAAATATAAAGAAATATAATTGGTTTTAAGAGTTTCATTGAATTGTTTACTTTAATATGTTATACGTGATCTTAATTACTATTTTAATAAAATTTAATATATATCAATATTTTGATTCAATAAATTTTTAAGATTTTAAATATTAAATAACATTAAAATATATATAAAAATTAATTTATATTATATTTTTAAATCAAAATTTATAATAATAATTTTTTTACTATAATTTATCTTACTAACATTGTTGCTTTTAAATTTAAACGTATATTTTAATACTGATTTTATTTCTACTACTAAGACGTTATATCACCTCTACGATTATTTTCAATCTCAACAGATATAATTTCACTCTATATCCAAATTAACCATCATTTAAATATCCAAGTTGGGATAGACGAGAATTGAAATGATAGATTTTAAGCAGCCCTAAATTGGCCAGATCCGATCTCGGCTTTTGAAACAGGTAAATGGTTTAAATGGAGCGCATCAGTTAGGCGTGGGTCCGAAATCAGGTTTGGACTTTTGGCAGTAATTTATCATTTGAGCGCGGTGCGTGGGTGTCTCATCCGACAACGAAGCAGCTGAAGGAAGAAGAATTGGAGCTTTCGGTTTGTTTTTTTGATGACGATGATGATGATGATGATGATGATGATGAGGGGTTGGAGAAGCTCTTCTCTTTCTTCCTTTTCTTCTGCCTTAGATCATCTTCGACAATTGGGATCGGGTAACCCTAGATCTGCCACTTCTCTCTTTTATTCCCAAATCTCTTATTTCTCTACTACCCATTGCAAGAAGAAACCCAAGTATGTGTTTGATCAAATTGATGGTGCCTTAAACAAGTTTGATGAGATGCTACACATGCATCGACGTCCTTCTATTGTGGAATTTAATCAATTGTTAGGGGCCATTGTTAGAATGAAGTATTATGAAGCTGCGGTTACTCTGTTGAGAAAAATGGAATTACTAGGAATTAATCCTGATGTTTATACTCTCAGCATTTTGGTAAAATTCTTTTTGCCGCTTGCATCGTGTGGATTTTGGGTTTTCGGTTTTGGGGAAGATGTTAAAGTTGGGCATTGAACCAAATACTATAGCACTCTCCACTTTGATCAATGGACTTTGCATTGGAGGTCAAGTAGCTCAAGCTGTGAGGTTGTTTGATGACATGATTCGAGAAGGGTATCAGCCTAATTTAATCACTTATAATACCATAGTAAATGGTCTTTGTAAAATAGGTGAAACTATTCGAGCTATTAGATTGCTAAGGACTATGGGAGAAATAGGTTATGCACCTAACATTGTAACATACAGCACTATCATTGATAGCCTTTGTAAGGACAAGAATGTAACCGAGGCTTTGAAGCTTTTCTCGGAAATGAGAGGTGAAGGCATTCCACCTAATGTTTTCACTTATAATTCCTTAATTCATGGTATGTGTAATTCATGTCAATGGAAGGAGGTCACAAGATTATTGAATGAAATGATGGCGAACAATTGCAAACCTAATGTCATCACATATAATATTGTGGCTGATGCCCTTTGTAAAGAGGGTAGGGTTTTAAAGGCTCAAAATATTTTTGATAGAATGATTCAACAAGGTGTTGAGCCTGATATAGTTACCTATTGTTCATTGATGGATGGATATTGTTTGCAAGGTAAAATGGGTGCGGCTAGAAAATTATTCAATTCAATAACTAACAAGGGTTGTGTACCTAATGTATTTAGTTACAGCATCATTATCAATGGATATTGTAAAGCTAAAAGGATTGATGAGGCAATGGAACTTTTTCATGAAATGACTCGAAATGGATTAATCCCTAATGTTGTTACTTACAACACTCTTATAGGTGGCATGTCACAGGTTGGGAGACTTGCATTTGCACAAGAACTTTTGAAAGAAATGAGTGCTCGTGGCCTAGTTCCAAACGCGATCACTTATTGTACTTTGTTGGATGGCTTATGCAAGCATGGTCATATTCATGAGGCATTGGGACTTTTTCATGTAATGCAGAATAGTGGGTTAGATCCTAACATTGTCCACTATTCTATCTTAATTGATGGCTTGTGTCGAGTTGGGCAACTTAAAGTTGCAAGGAAATTATTTTGTGCTCTCAAAGTCAAAGGGATACACCCTAATGTTCACACATAATATAATGATCAGAGGACTTTGTAAAGAAGGGCTGCAGAATGAAGCATACAAACTGTTTAGTAAAATGGAAGTGGATGGTTGCATGCCAGATAGTTGCTCTTATAATGTGATGATTACAGGATTTCTTCAAAACAATGACACATCAAGGGGAATACAAATTCTTCGTGAAATGGTTAACAAAGGATTTTCTGCAAATGCATCTGTAGCAGCCACGCTAGTGGATCTAATGTGTTGTGATTCAACGGGTGAATATATTCGTGCAGTAGTTCAGAAACTTTGAAGACTATCAAAGTTCTAATATGGAGTGATTTCTTCCCAGCCAATATTAGTGCAATATATGCAAACAAGTTTTATAATCTGTCAGGGTTGCTAATAAATATCTAAGCAGTCCCTAATTCCATCATATGAACTTCATATGGATGGCAGTATTTTACTCCTTGATTAGGCATTAGGCCGCATGCAAGTATCCTATTAAATTCAGGAAGAGGGCTGATTTTGAATTTTTCAGCCTGCGGGTACTCTTTTTTCTTCTGTTTTTCTCCTTTTTTTTTGTTTTTTTTTTCTTCTAGGGCACCTATAGGCATAGCAGTTTTGGGCTCTATTAATGGTTTACCATTCATTCTAGTTTTGATAATCTTGCAAAACGTATAATATTCTCCTTTGCAGAACAAATGTCAATGCTTGTTCATCCTGCTTTATAATCATATTGTCTTTTCCTGCTGGTGTTTCTTTGGAACTGGAAGCATTAGAAAGTTTTTTGTTGTGAGTTTTGTTGCATGGAAATGAGATATTTGGTTTGAATTGAAGTGAATGGTATAGAATTTAAATAATTCTTTTTTATTAACATAAATTTCCATTTGAAATGCATTTCCAATGCTCAGATAGCGAAGTCACCAGAGCTATCTCCTGTGGTGGTGCTGGATTTCTGTTGATCCTCCACCATTTGGGGAACTGGCATGGCTAGCCGCCTTGTCTGCTCTAACTGAACATCTTACAGGGATAGGATCACATTGTGGAATTGTATGTACTGAAATTCAAAAAATTTCCCTGGATCTATTATGAATTGACATGATTCTAATATAATGCATCTCTGTTTTCCTTTATTCTTCTTATCGTATAAATTTATGTAGTTATGTTCTTATAGTTTTCCTCTCGATTTTTCCTCTACTTAATAGTTCCTAGTGAGGGACTTTGAACAATTTGATTAAACTTCTTGCCTTGCAATTTTCTCTTTTTGGTTGGTGTCATTTCTTTTGTGCTACTTGCCTTACTCTTAGCTTATCATTCTCGGATGTATGGTACAAATTTAATAGCAACAATGCATGCCAGAAACTACTTATTTTTCTTAATATAAATTTCAGATCAAAGTGGACATAAACATTGAATGGGATTTATAAATGGATCACTGAATTATGGTTTAACCTCTGTCATTTCATGATCTGAACCTATAAAACTCGTTTGTGTTTGCTTGCAGTGACACCACCTTAGGTGTTTGCCAACGATGATTTTAATACTTTAGTGAGACTGGGTCTGGCAAGCATGTGCCAAGAGCTATATTTGTCGATCTAGAGCCCACTGTCATTGATGAAGTTGGAGGAGGGACTATCAGACAACTCTTTCACCCAGGGCAACTTATTTCTGGCAAGGAAGATACTGCTAATAACTTTGCTAGAGGACATTATACAGGTACAAGCATCTTTTCTGCATTTCCACAGTACTGGCAATTTTGTTATATTTGATCACTGGCTTAAACTTTTTTGGTGTTGTATATTGCAGTTGGTCAGGCAATTGTGGATCTTTGCCTTGACCAAGTGAGAAAATTGGCTGATAACTGCACTGGTTTGCAAGGATTTTTTGTATTTAGTGCTGTTGGCAGTGGAATTGGTTTTGGTTTGGGCTTGTGCTTTTGGAGTGCTTGTCCGTAGATTATGGAAAGAAGTCAAAACTTGGCTTCACCATCTACCCTTCTCCTCAGGTAATTTCTTGAAGACTTCAAGGAAAAGGACAGGTTTCTTTTACCCTATGCTTGAACTATTATGTTTGTGCAATTCACTGAACAATTATCCCCAATTGTGCAGGTTTCTACTGCTGTTGTGGAACTTTATAATAGCATGCTCTCAACTCATTCCCTCCTTGAACACACAGATGTTGCTGAGCTTCTTGACAATGAAGCTATATATGATATTTGTAGGAGATCCTTAGACATTGAAAGACCAACTCAAACAAACTTGAACCACTTGATATCCCAAATTATCACTTCTTTGGCCACTTCATTGAGGTTTGATGGTGCGATAAACATGGACATCGCAGAGTTTGGACATTTTAGAGTTTCAGAATAACCTCGTGCTGTATCCTTGTATCCATATCGTGCTCTCATCATAT